AAGGTTGCTTTCAAGAATTTTCATCCAGATAGTGCATCTAAGGAAAAATCTTATACCCATTTTTGTCTAGTAATAAGATCTATTTTAAATAGCTTTCCATCAACAGTGTCGAAAAACTCATTGTGAGGAACCCACTCTTCCTTTAGAAGAATATGAGGTTTCGTGACATTTATGCAAGAGCTAGTGTTTATGAAGGAAATGACAGAGACAAGGACATCATATTTGGATGGTAAGATTTTAATTTTCACATTAAGCTATGGGACATGTAGAGGATGTAGTGGTTAGTTGAGGTTTATAAGGCCTGTTAGTTCTAAGCTTAAGGGAGATAAGCTAAGGTTTTGGATTGGGCTTGGTCCAATAGTATATAAAAGTAGATATTGGGGGAATATCGTTCCTTATTTGAGTTGTCATCTAATATAGGAAGAACATATTGAGCATCTTCATCTCTTTCAAATTGTTCTTCAAGAATAGATTCAATATTTTGATTATCTTTAAGAGCGATTATAGTCTCAAGGGATTGTAAAATCTATCTTTTTAGGCTTGTTAAGACACTGTTTGGTAAAATGCCCTTTTTTTTACAGATAAAACATTTGTCTAACTTCTTTCCCTTTAAAGTTCATCGTTTGAAGAATCTCATTGGTCATCTTTTTGGCTTGAAGGTTTTGCGCTTATATGTGTGAACGTGATTCTCCTTCTTGAAAGAGCAGAATTCATGGTCTTTATACATAATCTTCAAATAAGGCTTTTTGTAGGCTGATTGTAACTTTGGCTTTTCTTTAAGCATAGACTTTAAAAATTATTGTTGTTCACATAGCTTTTCTAGCTAGACAAAGATAATTGGTAGATTTCTCCAAAAGAGATTTGAGACATATCATTTTGTAAAGCATTGATAGCTTTATGCAGTTTTGGTTGAAGTTCATCTAGCAAGAAGGCAGTGAATGTATGCCTAAGATTAACATCATTAGTACTATTCAACATATAGTATTTTTCAAACATCCATTGAAAGTGTTTTTGTAAATCCTTTTAATTAAGTGAATAACATTTCATTTTAAAGAACTCTTATATGCTTTGTCTATCAATAAGATTGAAATCACCAAGGAATTCCTTGTGAATTGCACAAGAAATGTAGAAGCATTAACTTGGGATGCTCAAATTTTGTCATATTCACTCAATCTCTGGAACCATTCTCTTAAGTTTCTAGTCATCCTTGAGAGAAACTCTAAGAGCACCTCTCTCATTGTTACATCTAGGTTAGTAATATGCAAATCAATCTAAGCATTGACTTCTTGGAGTCTTTCTCTCCATCTGTGTCGAGGTAGATCATAAAAAATGAACAAATGACTAGAAGTAGGTTTGGAACTAGAGGCATGAGTTATGGGTTCAGAAGGTATTTCTTCCATGATTCTTGACTCATCATCAGAAGGATCTTCTACAACTGTCTCTGTACAAGTTTCATATTAAGCTTGTATTTGTGAAGAAGACCTTTGAGAAGGAGGTTGAGGTTTGACCATTGTAATTTTTGATAAATCAACCAAATGTTGTTCTTCTTCAAAGTTTGTAAACTTTATAGAAGTTTGAGAAGACACGGGTGATTCTATACTTTCTTTGTCTGAATAAACCTAATCATATACAGCCTTTTTAATAGAAGCAGTTGTTCCTAAAGGGTTTGAGGGATCTTCTATCCCTTTGAGTTTAGCAGTTGTTGATGGTAGTTTAGGCTTTAGTAGTGATGGTAGAGGTGTTTTAATGGTCAAGGGTTTTTCTGGTATTTTGGTAAAAGATAAAGATGCTTGGTATTCTTGAGATTTTATATGAGAAGGACTTTGATGGAAAAGTAGTTTTTCTTAGTAGTTTACTAGTGACTTTGTCTAGGAGTGGGCTTTTTCTAAGCTTTTTTGAGAGTACAGTAATTCATTCTGAATACTTTACTATAATCAGTCTCAGTTAGATAGGTTAGATGTATGGAGGTATAAGTAAGGAATTGTCTAGACAAGATAGGATAGGTTAGATACGATTCCTAAATTGATCTTGGGTTAAGTTTGCTTCTATCTACTACAATTGTCTTTTGACTTTAGAAATTTCCTTTTCTTTTCTAAAATATTCAAGTCCAAACTACCCTTCTTTGATAAATCTATGAAGTTTCGCATCCAGCTTTTGTTCTTGTTTGTAGAGTCTTTGATATAAATTCTTTGCTTGATCATTAATTTTATTAACCTGTAAAGAAAGGTTTTCAATTGTTGTTATTAGGTGATTAAGCTTTGAATCTATCCTATGTAGGACTTTATTTTGGCTGACAACATTTTGAGACTGTTAGTTTAGTACTTCTTCTATAGGTGAGATAGGCTTAAGAGTGCCTTGATGAGTTACTTCTATCTGTGGGACAAAAGGTCTAGTAGTATCCTTTGTCTTGTCATCTATTTTTCTCTTAAGAAGAGGAAATTCTTTCTCATAAGGTCGCATCAAATATAAGGCAAAGCTTGTACTTGTGCAAGTGGGAGCATTAAGGTCACAGGTTTTAGAAGTAGTGGAATTACTAATTTTTCTTTCTCCAAAAGGAGAAGATCTTTATGACTAAGTTTTCTGAGGAGTTCGAAAAGCGTGCTTCTTTTTTGGGGGGAATTAGAAGTTCTACCCATTTTTCTCTTTATAGGTTGTTTACGGCCATGATCAACATCATCATTCTTAGAAGGATGCTTATATCTACACAGGCGTATAGGACGCTTAAACTTTCTTGTTCTTCTTCTTCATCATCAAAATCATTCTAAAGGTAACAATCACAACTTGGATCACACAATTCTGAGGCACAGTCCCAAATAAAATGTCCATTGATATGAGAAACATAAACTAGCTTGGCATCTTATGTGAACCACTCTATTAAAGGATCATCTTTGTGTCCAATAAAGGCTGGTGTTATAGACAAGATTCTTTTAGAGATCAGATTTAGATCTTGAGTTCTTAGTCTTTTAAAGACAAACTTAACAGTACCATTTTGAAGTCTATAGAGTTCAGAGGGTTCTATTGTGTGTATATCTCTTTGAACACCATAGAACTGCTTCTCATAATTATTGATCCATTGCAGAGGCATCTTCCTACAACTTCCTCCATAAGCAGATGTCTTGGTATTTGAATGATTAATGAGTTATCGGGATTATCAACAACCATATACAAGGCATCTCCAATTGCATTAGGTAAGCTGAGATCTAAAGAATGATCCTATAGTCTGAAAATCATCTGGTAGTCCAAAGTGGGCATAACAGCATCTAATTCTTGTTTAGCTGTATGGATCTGGATCTAAACTTTAAGTCTTTGGAAAAGAGTTGGATCTGTAAGTTTGATGTGCTATGGTAAGAACCACGCTCTCGTTGCTAAGGGTAGTCAACATGACACCGATTAAAACATTACCATATAACTTGAAAGTAAACTCTAGTAAAGCAACCCTAGCAGTGGCTGCTACACCTTTTCTTCTAAGGAAGGTGAGAGCAAGGCAGATAGCTCCTACATGAAGGTAGGTATAACCTTGAGTGATCCATCTATTAATCAAAGGCTGTACAATTTTAAGGGTAATATACTGTTCAGCTATAGTTGCTTGAATACCACACTGACCAAGATTAGATGTTTGAATTATTTCTTTTAATTGAGGACAGTGGGTGTGGATCAGAGATCTGATTCCACAAGTAAAAGCATTCCCTTTATGAGTATTTTATGTGTGGCTGGGATATGGGTATTTTATGGAACAATAGAATACTCAATAAGATTTTTTATTTTCTCAAAGAGTACTCGTTTTACAGATGATGGTAAGTGATCAAAGGAAAAGGCTGAAATAAGAGTAACAGGCTCAAGGGAAGTAGAACTTTTTGAGTTATCACTCATGATTACTCGATACTCTTTATTTACTTTTCATCAATAACATCTCACTTGTATCAAGAAGATACTCTTGCAAGAGATTTCTGTAAATTTTGAAAAAACAAAGAAAGTTATTGTAATCAAACAAAATTCACGGGATATTTAATTGTAGAATTTATTTAATATTTTAATAAATATATATTATTTCAAAAAATGATTTAAATGTAATAAATAAAAAACTAAAGAAATTCTTTTCTTTAAATTAAACTAATTTAAGTCTTGTATACTATATGGAGCCTGTGAGATGAATCCTATTAGTAAGTTTATGAATCATAATTAAGGATAGTCAGTTTCTAACCTCTTTTATATTTGGGAAATTTATTGAAGGACTGCTGGAGCATATTAATTAATTGTGAAAAATGATTAAAGCATTTTGAATTTACTCTGAACTCCCTGACCTTACACCTGACAATCAGATTTGAAGGAGAAAAGATGAAAATATCCATACTTGTTATACATTTCCAAACTTGTGCTTATTAAACTGTTATCCTTGTCATCATTTTATATACACATGCTTGTCAAACATAATATTTCTACTCGCTGGAATTCTAAATGCTTTGGTCTTTTTCCATCATTAATTAATGTGCTCCAGCTGTCCAAGTGATTTGCTCTTTATATTTTTCCCTAATTAAACTATTTTTTAACTAAAATATCCTTTATTAATTAACATAACTAGTATGTAGTATTATTTTCAATATATTTTCAACTTTTTAAATTTACGAATCTTTATTGTATTGTAAAAAAAAATATAACTAAAATGCAAAAGAAAATAAAGGAAAAAAACAGGAGGCATAATAAGTGGATGGATGTTACTGAAGTATTTTATATTGTGGATTTTCAAAGATCAAATTCAAAACCTTGTAAATAGCAGAAAGACAAGCTGTGTTGTAAATGTGACACTACACCTACGGGCTTCCTCTGGTGTGTCTCTCCCTCTCACCTTCCTCCTCCTACCACTTGTCACCCTTTCTCTCTCTATCTCTCTCTCTCGCTCCCTTCTCATCCACAAATCCATCCTATCACTTGCCTCTCCACTAAACTAGGACTTGCCTCCCCCTTATTTTCTCATCCCTCCTCCTCCTTCTTCTTCACTTCACGTCACATTTCATTCTTCTTCTGACCTTCTTCTCTGATCTTTGTTATATGCCCCTCATGATCGATCACCAATCTAGCTTCAAGTACTTCTGCAAGATCTGCAAGAAAGGATTTGGCTGTGGCAGAGCTCTCGGAGGCCACATGAGGGCGCACGGCATCGGAGATGAGAGCAGCGGAGCTATGGATGACGATGACGACGCGGCAAGCGACTGGGAAGATGGCAAGCTTGTTGGTGGAGACGACAATAATAATGCTAATGTTCCTCCGGCTAACAAGCGGATGTACGCTTTGAGGACGAACCCTAATCGGCTAAAGAGTTGCAGGGTTTGTGAGAATTGCGGGAAAGAGTTCTTGTCTTGGAAGTCCTTCCTTGAACATGGCAAGTGCACTTCCGATGATGCCGATGAGTCGTTTGTTTCATCGCCGGGATCCGACGGCGATGATGTGTCGGGTCGGAGAGGTTGTGGTTGGTCCAAGAGAAAGAGGTCATTTCGAGCCAAAGTGGGCAGCTTCAATAATAATAATAATAATAATCCTAATTGCTCTTCATCCAATGAGGAAGAAGATCTCGCTAATTGTTTGATGATGCTGTCCAACGCCACCGTGGATCCTCTCGTGCCTGACGCCGACGAATCATCGGCATCGGCGAGCAAAGACGATGAGAGAAGAAACGCTAATTTCAGCTTCATGGCTCCCATCTCTCAAGTCCCTTTGGATCATAACAAAGCCAAGGAGGCAAGCAATAAGGGCTTGTTTGAATGCAAAGCATGCAAGAAGGTCTTTAATTCCCATCAAGCATTGGGTGGTCACAGAGCCAGCCACAAGAAAGTCAAAGGCTGCTTCGCTGCTAGGCTCGACAACCTCGAAGATGGCGGTGGCGGCATGGGCGGCGCAACCGGTGGCGCCGATGATGATATCATCACACATGAAGACCAACTCTTTCCAACGAATAAATCAAGCAATTCAATGCTTCATTTCGATCATGGCTCCAATAACGCTGCCTCGTCGTCTAAGAGGAAATCGAAAGTTCATGAATGCTCAATATGTCACCGAGTTTTCTCGTCGGGACAAGCACTGGGAGGACACAAGAGGTGTCATTGGATTACGTCGAACGCGCCGGACGCTTCGACGTTGGCTAGATTTCAACAATTTCAAGACCACATAGAACAACACATGATGAATCATAATAGTAACAATAATCAAATACTTAAGTTTGACGATCCCGACCCAATTGATCTAAAGCTGGACCTCAACCTCCCGGCTCCGTCGCCCCCAGAACTTGCCGGCCGGTGTAATGTCTCCGCAGCGATTTACTTACAGTCATGGGTAGGAGGAGGAGGAGGAAAGGAGCAACATAAAAATGACAATAGTACTCACGACATGGACATTGAGAATAACGATGAAGATCAATGCAAGAACAATGACAAAAAACTTAATATTAGCAATGGTACGACGATGCAGAGCATGGAAGACGAAGCTGACAGTAAGGTGAAGCTAGCGAAATTAAGTGAACTAAAGGACATGAACGTAGGAGGGAGTTCTTCGCCATGGTTGCAGGTGGGAATCGGTTCAACTACAACTGACGTGGGAACTGACCCATAATAAATTTATAGATTTTTGCAAAACCACCAAATCAACCATTATGTTGGGGTTTTCTCTTTCGCTTTTGTTTTTTGTCAAAGCAAAAACAAACACAGAAACGGTAAATAGGTAATCAGATTATACAGACACACAAGTCAAAGTTAAATTTGTTAATCATACGCAATTATTCACGGCCTTGGCCGGGGCGTCTAATGCCCCATTTCCAATGTAGGCTCCTACATTTCATTTTTTTTTTATCATTAGATTATACATAAAAAGAGAGACAATTTGATATTTTACAGTGATAAATTAGTGCAGTCTTAATTTATTTTCTTTGTTGTGGTTTTCTCTTTCTTTTCTTTTATTAAACAAGGAAAAACAACTGTATACAGAGTACAGCTACAGGTATGCTCACATATCAAGATTCTATGATGTGTTACGTTTCGTAATATATAAAAAGATTGATGTTATTTACCACTTAGTTTTGTTATAAACTATGCATTCCTGGTAAAAAGTTGTCCTAATAAATCTTGTACCTTTGTCCTTGGCCAACATAGTTTTGATAATATCATTGTGGTGCAAGAAGTTGTTTATACAATGCCAAATATGAAAGGGTAAAAAAATTTATATGACAACTAAAATTGATATAGAAAAAGCTTATAACAAAGTAAATTGGAATTTCTTTAAGAATTGTCTTTTGGAATTTCAATTACCAAGTGAGATGGTGAATGTTATTAGGAATTGGTTTCCACTTCGTGAATGCAACTTCTTCAGAATAGTAGAAGAACTGATACTTTCACACTCTCTAAAGGAGTACGGCAAGGAGATCCAATATCTCCTTATCTTTTTGTGATTTGCATGGAGAAATTTGCTCATTTGATTCAACAAAAAATTCAAGAAAGGAAGTGGAATCCTATGACAACAAGTTGATATCATTAACGATTGCTTGCATAAGTTTTGCATGAGCTCTAGTTTAAGAGTTAATGCTACAAAGACCAAGGTGTTTTTCTCCGTGAAATGTGCACTATACCAAGAGTTTGGAACTAATTAAGTAAAGCACTTGGTTTTACGGTGATTACAGACTTGGAAAATACCTTGGAGTCCCTATTCTTCACAAATGTGTTAAACAGGGCCACTTACCAAGAAGTCATCAATAAGATGAAGAAGAGGTTATCCAATTGAAAGGCAAACCCAATTGTCTCACTGGGAGAACTACCCTGGTCAATGATGTTACTTCTAATATTCCTACTTATACTATGCAGACAAAAAAATACCTCCATGCTACTTGTGATGAGCTGGAAAGGAATAACTGGAAGTTCTAGTGGGTCTCTATTGATGAGAAGAGGAAGTTTCACCTGATTCCTTGGGACAAAGTTTGTAAACCTAAGACCTAGGGAGGACTTGGAATAAGAATACAAAACAACAAAATCATGCCGCCTTTCAGATGAAGCAAGAATGGGGTCTTGTTAAATGATGGGATGACCCTTGGGTTGGTGTGGTTTAGAAGCAAATATGAATGTAGTTTAGATGTGTTACCAAAGATTGATATGAAACTATCAGGTTTGAATATCAAGTAGGAGATTAAGGCCACTTGGGAGCATGTCAAATGTATTGTTATTTGTGATGATAACAGTAATGCTACATGGAAATGGAATAAAAGTGGTCAATATAATTTATCAATGAAGTCTACCTACAAATCTTTGGAGGCGATTATGGAAAACTACACGTCCAATAACGGTGTAAGTTTATTTTGTGGTTATCATATCATAATAAACTCTTTACTAATGTAGGTCAAATGGAGCGTGGCATGCAAGCAGATGATCAATGTGAGATATGCAATGCTGCTATTGAAGATATTATCCATGTGCTGCATGATTGTCCAAACACTAAAAGCCTCTAGAAGGAGCACCTTCACTACAAAAAACATGACTTTCAGCGGTGACTTTTACTGTCATCGCTGAAAGTTAAAAATCAACGGTGACTTTTTAGTGTCGCCGCTGATTATCAACAATTTTTTATTTGTTTTAAAAAAATTATGTTGCAAGTTTCAGCAGTAACATACAAGTCGTCGCTGAAAGTCAACTTTCAGCAGTGAATTTTTAGTGTCACTGCTGATTGTAAGCATTTTTTATTTCTTTTAAAAAATTATGTTGCAAGTATCAACGGTGACATTCAAGTCACTGCTGAAAGTCGACTTTCAGTGGTGATTTTTTAGTGTTGACTTTCAGCGGCAACTTTTTAGTGTCGTTGCTGATTGTCAATATTTTTTATTTCTTTTAAAAAAATTATGTTGTAAGTTTCAGCGGCGACATGCAAGTCACCTCTGATTGTCAACATTTTTTAATTTCTTTTAAAAAAATTATGTTACAAGTTTCAGCGGTGACTTTTTAGTGTTGTCGCTGATTGTCAACATTTTTTATTTTTTTAAAAAAAATTATGTGGACATTCAGTGGCGACTTGCATGTTGCCGCTGATTGTCAATATTTTTTAATTTCTTTAAAAAAATTATGTTGCAAGTTTCAGTGGCGACATACAAGTCGTTGCTGAAAGTCAACTTTCAGCGATGACTTTTTAGTGTCGTCGCTGATTGTTAGCATTTTTTTATTTCTTTTAAAAAAATTATGTCGCAAGTTTCAGCGGTGACTTTTTAGTGTCGCCACTGATTGTCAACATTTTTTAATTTTTTTAAAAAAAATATGTTGCAAGTTTCAACGACGACATACAAGTCGCCGCTAAAAGTGGACTTTCAGCAGCGACTTTTTAGTGTCGCCGCTGATTATCTACATTTTTATAATTTTTTTACTAATGTATAATCATCAGTATTTTTACTATTTATTCTTAGATATTTTTTACATTATAATTATAAATATGAATATTAAAATAAATAATATAACAACCTCAAGAAGTAAAAAAAATTAAAATAAATAATATAAATTATATTGTATCAATTATATTTATAGTTTACTTTAAACAAAATAAATAATATAATTTATAATTTTATAAATTGAAAGAATTAAATTGAAGTATTTAAGGATAGTAATGATATTTTATAATATTTAATATTTAATATATATGTGTGTTTGTATAGTTTAATAATGTGTGTGTGTGTGTGTGTGTGTGTGTGTGTGTGTGTGTAATTATGTAATAATAGACTACAGGTTTATTCTAGTTTAGTGGCAAAACAGTTGAACACAAAAGGAGGAAGTTACGGGTTCAAACCTTGAAGGAGACAACTTTTAAAATAAAAATATAAATTAATGACATGATGACACATGGAGGGTAACATGGGGCCACGTGGCGTGAGGTGAGGGGCGACACATGGAGGGTGACATGGTATCACATGGTGCGAGGTGGGGCCCTATGTGGAGGGCGCTACATGGACGGTGACGTGGTGTCATGTGTGTAAGTGAACTAACATTACTTCTTAGTGACAACTTTTAGTGGCGACTTTTTGACTTTCGGCGGCAACAAATGTCGCCGCAAATTCTCAACTTTCAGCGGCGATTTTTTTTGTCGTTGCAGATTAAATCAGGGACAGAAGCTCTCGCAGCAACATTGTGGCGACTTTTTGTCGTCGCTGAAAGTCAATTTTTTTATAGTGCTTGATCATGAACACATAATGAATTTATTTAATTCTAGGGTTCATGATTAACAGTGTTCTTTAGTCCTAGTACTTCTTAGTTGTTTATAATTGGCTCATTGGGCGAAGATGGAATGAAAAAAAATAATTCAGGATAAATCCACTTCCAATGGAACAATCGATGCTCGCATCCTTGTTATTATTCATATGTTCACTGAGTGTTGCAATAAGCTGAAGGGCGCGATTGTGGTGGATGGAGCTTTATTGGCTTAAACCGAGCAGAAGAATTTTGCTGGTTGTGGTGGTTTTATTTGTGATTTTATGGTGTATTCAAAGCTGGCTTTACGCACAAGAGGTACGACGGAGATCCTCAAAATGTTGAACTCTGGGTTTGCTTATGGGGCCTAAAAACGGAATTGGACCTTGGCATTACTCATCCTTCAGATTGATTTTTCTTAGGCTATTGAAGCTATTATTAGAGATGTGATAGACATCCACCAAGATTAATTATGAAGTTAATTATCTCAGAGATCAAGTCCTTGAGCGCTTGTGATTGGTTGGTTACTATTCAGAAGATCTCGTGTGATACAAATGAGGCTATTGATACTCTTGCCAAGGCAGGCGCTTTCATTCATTGTTGGGTTTCGTCCCTACACTTTCCCCATGCCGAGTTAATTCTACTTTGGAAGAATGACAGAAAGATCACAAAAAAATTAATTACTTTAAATTAACCCTGAAGTGTTAAATTTTATGAATTTATAACTCAATTTTTTAATTTTACAATTCTATTATGATGAATTTGTAATTTGTATTTCAAATTTTAATAAAATGAATAAATTTTTTTATTATTCAACCATGTTAAAATTAAAAAAATTATAAATTTATCACAATATAATTATAAAATTGAGTTGCAAATTTATGGGGTTTTTAGCACTCAAAACCTAACTTAAATTAATTAGTTTTTTTGAGATTTTTATGTCATTCTCCCTTCTGGTTTTGCAGCAGGACATTGATACTGCTTTGTAGGGTTTTTTTTTTAGGAAAAATTAATGTTTTAGTCCTTCAACCTTTAATTCACTTGTAATTCAGTCTCTCGACTATGACTCGCTATGACTCGGTCTCTTAACTATAACTCACCTATCACTCAATCCCTCAACTTTTAAATCGCTTACAAATTAGTCCCTGAACTTTTGTTAATTTTTTTTCATGTTAGCTTATATCTCACATCAATGAGTAAGAAGAGGGTATTTTAGAATAATATATGAACATTTTTTATCTTTCTTATTTGATAAAAAAATATAAAAATAATAAAAATAATAAGGAACAAATTATAGGTGAATCAAAAGTTGAGGGACTGAGTCGTAACAAGTTATAGTTGAAGGACTAAATCGCAGCGAGTCATAATTGAAGGACTGAATTACAAGTAAGTTAAAAATTAAAGAATTAAAAAATTAATTTTCTTTCTTTTTATTCCCGTGACATAAAAACAAATGAACTGTACATTTTTCCTATAATAACTTCTTTATCTTTCCTTCATTGAAGTACCCCCATGCTTCTCCAGTACTTAATATAAGAGGAATTTTGAAATCTATTTTTGGTTCTTAATATATAAGAAAAATTAGAGTAATTAATTTTTTAAATTTTACCCTTTGTTTACTTATTGTCATTTGAATTCCTAAATAATAATTTATTATGATTATTAATTTCAAAAAAAAGGGTAAAATTGAAAAATGACATTTTTTTTTTACAATTTTAAGGTTATAATTAACATTTTTTGTAATAAACGTAAAGTTAGTTTAAGTTCATCATATATATTAAGTACTGGATGTATTATAGAAATATCTCATATGCATGTTGTCTTGCAGTTCCATCTAACTCTTGAACTTTTCAAGTTATTTTTCATGTTATCTTACTGTTTCTTTATTTTACCACCACCAGTCAGTTATCTAAAGCACTAAATTAAGTTTGTGTTAGCATTTAAAGATTATTTATAGAAAAATCATATTTATTTAATGTTACATTTGGTTTAATTTCCACCCCCTGCAGATTACTTCTGAATTGAACCATGGCCATAGCCCAACCTTAATTTCTCTTTTCATACAATTTTTTTTATTTAATATCCGATACTATTAGGTCAGAGATAAGCATTATCAAAATGAATTAAAAATAACGTCTTTCTCTGGTATACTGAAAGGAACTTTACTAACACAATTTCTTTCATCTGTTTAGATATTTTATTCAAAGAAAATCAGTTTTTTTCGTTACACCCAACCACAACCTAATTTCTATTCTAAAGAAAAAAAGAAATTGTGCTTTTCGTACATCGTAATGTTCCTATTCAATTAAAAAAAAATTCAACTCCAACTCTTTGTATTTTTTTTTCCAGGCAAAAAATGCAGCTGTGAATTTTTTCACCTAAGTAATAATGTATCTGTCACTTGATTATTGTGGCATTTGAGTTTTCTAAAATAGCTATATGTGTGTGGGTGAGAAATAGTTCCATATTTTTCGTTTGTAATTCCATATTTATATTATTGACTCTTTACAAAAATATGCCCCAAGGTTAAGCCTGGAATATGATGTGGCCAATAGACTACTTATTTAAGCTTTTTTTTTTTTTAGTTCAAGCTCTAAAAATTGAATTTTTCAAGATAAAAGAGCTTCTGGGCAAAGATTGTATGAACTTCACGGGAAAAAAAAAAAGGTAAATGAATAAATTATCTTTTGAACTTTATATTAAATAGCACTATAAATTTTAAATTTATTTATTGTACAAATCATTCCATCAACTTTCTAACAATACAATATTGCTTTTATTATTAATAAAAATTAACTTTGATCGTTAGTAGACAAAAAAAACCCTCAAAAATTACCCAAAAAAATAAAATTACAATAAATGACACAAAAAGATACAGATAATGACCCAAAAAGACAAAAAAAAATTCATTTTCTATAATTTATGAGATCTTTTTTATCATTTTCTTGTCAACTAAAGGGGACAATTTGCATAGTAAATAAATTTATAATTTATAATGCTACTAGATCTAAAGTTCATAGGAGTAATTTGCTAATTTATTTTTTTAAAAAAAAGCTCGAAACTCAAGCTATACATTTGAGCTAATTTATTTGTTTTAAATAAATTATCTCCAACACAATTCGTAACATTTGCTTCTTCTTATTTAGGAATTTGTTTTCAATGATCACCTTTCCCCTTATCTGATTATCCAACTTACATAGATGTAAATGATGATTGAATATTATCAATACATTCGTTTTGAAGTTTGGAAGCATGTTATCTATGATATTCCTTTTGCCATGGCCCTCAAGGTTGAAGGGCTGGCTTTACAGGCCTTAGCTCTATTATACATTTCTTTTAATTTAAAAAATTTAATAAATAAAATTATAATTTAAAAAAATTATTACATATAAAATTAAGTTTAAAAAAATAAATTTAAGTAAATTTATGCCAAACAAATATGTAAAGCTTAAACATTCAAATTTAATATCATAACAAATGGTGACATCATCAAAAATCAACACCAATAAAGACTAGCCAGCAATATCATGATGATTTCATTATTAATATAATTTGATCCTAGGGTTTCAATCTTTTAAATGTATGGTTTAGTTTTACTTTGTATTATTTTGACTTAATTTTAAAAAAAATAATAATAGGGCTTAATGGGGATAGCCCTTGTATTTTTAAACCTATTATAATCAGCCTTTTTAAGCTTGAAATTCCATTTTACACCCTAAATTAATAGCCTAGCCCTTACTATTTTCAAATTTAATTAAACGGGCCAGCCTACCATGATTGGCTCGTTTTCATGGCTTTACTTGAAAGTAATTTTGGATGTTGTCATGACGTTTACAGCAATGAGATGATAATTTGTCTCGCATAATTAGATCGTGAAATGCTTACATGGGCTCGTACATGAATTTGATTCATAATTTAGACTTTAAGATGCCCTGAGCCCACTGATTTTGATTACTTTTATAAAGGGAATTCCCTTATCATTTGCAAACCGTTTTCATTATCAAATGCTTTCTGGAAATGTTCAAGTATACAGGATCTATAAGGTATATTATTACAGTATCCACAAGGTTGACTGTAATCAACTATAGAATTAGAACATCGCCTTCCAAGAGGAAAATGGTTGTAAATATTGCACCTAGATTTGCAAAACCTTGCAGCTTGCATCAATATGGTCCGAGTGTGTCAACATTATGAGCTAAGACCCAGCCAAACCCTTATTATCGCATTTCATGTCAACATTTTTTAGTGTATAGGTGTCCTTTTATTGAAAATAATTACATTTAAAACACTGTAAGTACTAAATATGAATACCTGACAGTGCATGGGAAAATATTCAATACAGGAAGATAAAAATTATACCAATCAAAAGCACCCATCACTTGCACTGTTACTATATAACTGCAACAGAGGAGTGTGGAGGGATACTTCCAATGAAGTTATAGAATTACTGACATTAAAAAAGGAAACTCATTTGGCATATATAAATTAAAAAAAAAAAAAGGAAACTAATCTGACAAGTGCTGAGAGAGAGAAGTTATGAAAAGCCCAATTTTTGGATTCATTTCAAACTACTAAAGCCATCAATGGTCATTGCTTCTAGAAGGATGAATAATTCATTCTTCGATCATCATGATATGAACATGAACGATGAAATTTATACTTGACATACACGTGTCAGTGTATAAAGTTAAAAAGGAAGGCTGCACACTTAGTTTTTTAAGTCAATACAAAACTAGATATTACACCAAAACATGCATAAAGTCATGCAAAGAGCCAAAAGTGGGAGAGGAGAAAAAAGGAAAAAAACAATCAGCAAACCCAATTCTTGTTGTAGCTGATTCCCAGTCTAAGAAAAAATAAACATAGTCAAACTAAAATAAAACAGAGATGGCTATGTGACATGCAGAATACCTCCAAAAGACCAAAACATACTCAACAGGGTGCAGCACATCCGTTTCATTCCTATCCTACAATAGGACTCCTCAAATTTGCAAGACTTGCTCAATGCCACTACATAATGTGCCAGCCATATAACAACACTACCAACAAGCCTTATTCTACAAAAGCGAGGTAGCTATATAGATCGTGTAACTGTTATTGAGTTCAATCAACAATCAATAAGGGTTGAGTCTAACAAAAGGAACTAGTTCTTCACAAAGTGACAAACTAATTGTCAAATCCCCACACAGAAAAATACCCACATTTAATGCTCAATAGTACCTCGAACATAATTGTCTCTAATAGGAAAGTACCTGAGAATACCTGTGTGCAATAAAAAAATAACTTTTACAGAAACATTATTCATCATTAGATCTTATTCCATAACTTCCTTATGTATCCTTTTTGGTCTCTCTACTGTGGATACATCACAGAATAAACTAATATAGCCTTCACAAAATACATGAATAATGGATCTTCACCGACTCTTGACTCTTATGATCTCTTTTTATTTTTCTGCCGCTTGATGTAAAGAGAGGAGACAGCCCAGAAATAGTCAGAGAATGACTATATTAAGATGATCCAAAATGAAATGCGCATTAAATAAACTATAAGTTCATCAGTCATAATATGCATTATACAGGTGACGATCATAACATAAACCTTATTTCCTCCATCGATCCCAGACCATAATTAACTCCCATTACATAGATACAATTTATACTCCATTTGAAAACATATAAAAATTCATACTACTAATAAGAAAGTAACTGACACCTTCATCCATGAAGGAAAGAAAACTCGTTTCTTATAATAATTCATCTAAATTTACAAGCAAGAAAACCCGTTTAATATGCATTTCATGTCCCATAATTCTGCTGACCGTCAAACCAAAATGACCACTGTAATGGCATAGACTGCAAATAGTTCAATTTTTCAGCTTAAAGTTCAATTCATTTCAGAGGCACTTGCATTAGAACTGAACAGATGCCTATTATACAACAGTACATTTTATTGCAGGGAAAATGTAATTTTTGATCCCTTAACTTCTCCTGAACATTGACTTGAAACAACTCAATTCTTATAATTTCTTAACTCGAAATGTATAACTCAATTAATAGAATTTCTTGACTTGGAACAACTTAGACCATATAATTCCTTGATTCAAATCAACTGAATCCTTATACTTCCTTGACTAAACTAGAGTGATTGAGCTGTATTATAGCAAAGTTCAAAAATTAAATCAATAATGGGAGAAAGTTTAGAGGCTAAAAGTTATATTATCCTTTTGTAGCAAGTCACAATAGAAATTTGAAAATCAGGGACGTTCGACACCCTTTACTTATTGGTGTGTCCTTCGACATTCTTAGCTGTTTCACAGCCTAGGAAAGGGGTCTTAATTGGAAATTGAATCTCAATCTCACAGTAAATCCTTAAAACTCATTCATAACCAAAATCTCACATTCATTTTTTTTTCTTTTAAAATATTTGTAACCCTTATATCGAGCTTAAGCTTGCTCAACTGGCAAATTACTTTATGAAATAGAAAACTGGATAAAGTTACAGCAGGCCTATAAGGATCATATGATCAATGAATAAACTTTTATCCGATGTCTGCATTAGAGCATAATGTGTGTGTGTGTGTATCATGCCTTCTCTTATGGGTGTATCTACTGCAATCACCCCTTGAAATTTCAAATTATATTACTGGTACTCTCTAAAAGTTTACATGCAAGACCAAAATGGATCTATAGATTACTCTTAATTTCATAAGTTCGCATGCATTTTCCAGCGTTTAGCTCATTGGCATTTGGTAAAAGGAACAACTGATATGATGACAACAACCATATCAAGCTGAGCAAACACTTCGTAACTAATCAAAAACTTATGATAGAAACATTCCATGGCAATATAGTACTACTGAATCGGGGAAAACTTAAAAAGATCACAGACCAAAGAAAATGGAGCCCAAATGGTTAAGTAACTAAAAGCAACATTGCAACACACCATCGATCTAAACAGCAATCACATGCAAAAAACAAAAAAAAATCCTGAACCACAAAGACCAACCATCAAAGCGAGCATCTTCCCAAATGATCAATTTTTACAGAAAGGGAAAGAAAAGATTGATAATTTACCTGGAACAACTGAAAAACGAGTTAGCGGCGTGTAAGGTAATCAGAGCTGGTTGTTGAGACTTTAACTATTCAAACGTTGCCTCACCAGAATGTGGCCTCCGTTGATAGGAACTGAAGTGTGACCAAAGGAACGATTATCGAAGACCACCGAAGCGAGAGAGTTCACAGTTCAGCTCAGACTTCGGGCTTTCAAGACAGACTGAAAACGTTAAACGGTGACGTTTTGATGTGCTTCTGTCTTTTTGCATTCGGATGGTTAAAATGGGCTTTGCCCTTCGGCCCATCAAAATGGGCTTAGCCCACTCCTACGATCTGTTTAATCTGAACAAATAAGGTTGGACCAATAAATTAACTAACGGCTGGGCTCACACCCAATAAACTATAGAATCATAAAAGTTTTTTGTTTTTTTTTAATGCATTTAAGAATTTTTTAAAAAAATTATTCATAAATAAGAATCCACGTCAAGTCATCATTCAAAAAAAAAAAATATAAGTCACTATTACCATTTGAACAGTAAATAATTTTATATTAATCATTGCCTGCAAATAATTCTCTGGGGAGATCATTGAAAAAAAGAGAAAATTGCATCCAAGTGCATGTAAAAAAAGTTATTTACATATAAAAATCAATAACAAATTACCATTCAAAAAAAATAAGTTTATATTCTTATTTTAATAGTAATTTATTCTATATTTTTATCCAAAAATAATTCTTTACATATTAATCTTTGTCTATAAATAACTTTTTTCACAAGTCTTTAAATGCCATTTTCCTCTTTTCTCATGGTAACAAAAAGTTTTGGTTTGTTATAGCCTTTTTTTTTTAATTTACAGTTTGTACATTTTGTGTTATTTTGAACAAGAGTGGTCCAAAACACACACCTTGACCTTATCATCTCACTTAATTGATTTGAATATTTTGTTAATTTGTAATTTGCAAACTTATCTTTATCAAGATTCTTTAAACTGTCAAATCTACCCTGATGTGATAAACTTATAGAATCCAATTCATTTTTCTGTGAAAAAGTAAGAGATCAAATTGTTAAGAACCGAATCCAAAATTAGTATCCTACTAAAAGATTCCCTTCCTCCTTAAAAATTTTGACTATTTTATAACACACAAATCACCTATCAAAGAGGGAGATCATGCCATTTGAGCTCTATCTGATTGGCATTGGAAAATTGCATTTAATGCCTACAAGGGTGGATTTTATTATTAAAAAAAATAAAAGACCACATTTAAAATTTATAAGTTTGGTCAACCCATTTTTCACCCCAAAAAAAAAAAAATAGTGACAAATGCTACTTCTCTTATCTTATCCTATTTATAGAGAGAATTTGATTTTATTTATGAGACATATCACTGACTTTTTACCATTCATTAAATACCTGTAAAATTCTAGCAAAAACAAGAATATTGATAAAAGAAAGTACATTATTAAAATATATTTATTTAACAGGAAAAAAATTAAAAATTTGTTTTAGATAAAGTTAATGAATTTTAAAATTTTTCTTAATCATAGTAAAAATATATTAATAATGACTTATAAATAAGAATAGAATAACATTACCTTTATCTCAAATTATAAAATAAATTTAGAGATATTTTATTATCTTAAAATATAAGATAATTTGAAAAAAATAATATTTTATTAATGATGGTTTTTGAATATTACCATTCGAGATGAGAGAGAATTGAAATGATTATATTGTAATGATTAGTGTGTAAATTTAATGTTATAGTAAATGAAGTGTATTTTCTAAAAGTTTATATTGTTGTGAAAAAAGTATATTTATAATATCATGGGTTAAATGGTAAACCTATCCTGAAACTTTCTCTCCAGGGGCACTTGGTATATTAAATTTTTTTGGAGTGTTTTTGTCCCAAAAGTTTTAAAAACAGAGCATTTTTATCCCACTATTAAATATGAAAAATGTTGACTATTAATTGAAATTTGATCAAGATATTTTACAATTTTGCCTCCTTTTGTTTTTGCATTTTTGAATCTTTATTTTCATTTATTGAAACAAGAAAAGTTAAATAATCCATTGAAAAATAAAATCAGAGATTAAACACAAAATGAAAGGGGAAAAGATACAAAAATATGATCGGTTAAACTTTAATTTAACGATTAACGTTTGTGATTTTTAACAATGAGATGAAAATATTCTATTTTTGAAACTTTCAAAATAAAAATGTTTTAAAAAAAATTTAAAATGTCAAGTACCTTTAAAAAAATTAAAATATTTTTACCCTAAAATTCAAGTATCATTATGGGATTTTATTGATAGGGATAATTTTATTTCAAATTATAGCATGTTATAGCACAGGACCACTGGGCAATTGTGGTGGGCTGCAAGCCTGGCCTGCTTTCTAATGAAGATTCTTCCTTTTTGTTATTATTTTTTTAAATCATGCGCAAGAGAAATTGTAAAATCTTTATTTTTGTCCATGTAAACAAATTGCAGAATCTCCATCATTATCAACCTTACCTTCTCTAGCAAACAAAGTTTTGAGTAATTTCCTGCGTATTATCCAGAATTAAAGTACCCGTCACTCCATTCATTATTTTTCAATTAACTATTTGACTTATAAATAGAATTTATCTTGAACGAAGTTGCAAGTTGCAGATATTTTCTTTGTTTTAAATTTATTATGCAATGAAAATGAAATTTTAACTTAAGATATTTTCTGAAATAGTGGTCACACCCTTTTATTTCACCACTATTTTCTTTGTTTTAAATATAAATTAAAGTATATTTTTAATCTTTTAATTTTACATAAGATTTTATTTTAATCTCTTGATTTTATGATGTGTCAGTCTTTTATCATTACACAAAAATTTTATATTGAACTTTGAAATATTAAAAAAATATTTAAAATATTAACATATTAAATTTAATTTTTTAAAATAATAATTATTGACAAAAAAAACTATCATTTTAAATTATCAATATTAAGTTAAGAATTAAAAAATATTTTATAAAATTAAAAAATTTAACTAAAATTTTATATAGAGTTAAAGAATTAGAATTATACTTCAATCTTAAATTTATTATGGAATGACTTTGCATCGTAAAAAGGTATCTTGGAATGCTTATCAACAGATACTCTTGCCGCTTCAGTGGTTGGTGCGTTGTCTTCTGATGCCACTTGCAAAGCTAGTTAGTTAGAATTTGATTTTCATTTATCTTTAAATTTAAATTTTTATGAGATAATAATTACAAAATTATTTTTATTTGAAGTTATGTTATTTGAAAGGGAAAAATTTATTGTGCTTTGGGTATATTTTGTTTAGACAAATGTATTTGCCTTGCAACCATTTTGAATCATTGCTTTTTTAACATTTCGATTGATAAATTTGGATTTAAATTTTAAATTAAAAATATTAAATTTAAAATTATTTGTTTGGATAATATAAAAAAATTTAAATTTCAAATTCAAAGACAATGAAAAAGAAAAATGAGAAATGAGAATGGAAGGAGATGAGAGGGTGTTCAAGGGACGGGATGGGGTCAGGACACTCCCGTCCCGTGTCCCGCCCCGAAAAAAAGATCGAGACTGAATTTTGATCCCATGTTCCATTCCGTTAAGAGTCGAGACGAGACGGGGACAAGATCGGGACGCACTGCCATCCCGACAAATGCAATAATATCAAAAAAAGATTTGAATAATAACGTTTATTAAAATTTTAAATCATATAATTTATTAAATTTAAAATCAAAACAACACAAATACATAAATAACAATAATTTAAAATTAATTATTGAATTATATTAACAATAATTTAAATAACAATAACAAATACAAGTGATCTTTATGCTATAAGATTAGCAACAATAGGCAAGTCAAACATAACATCAAATCATTATTTTCTACTTTAGTAGAGATGTGCTAAGTTAATTACTCTTTTAAAAATAAAGCAAGAAATACGTTATAAATAAAAGTTATTAAATAGATAGGTATAAGAATAAATTATATTAATATAATTAATATATTATAAAGAAAGATATCGCCACGTTTACTCCATGCCACTAAAATTATCAATATAAAAAAATTTTAGTTTTAAATAAGAATTGCAAGTATTAAATTATAATTGATATAATTAATATAAGTATAAATTATATTAATATAATTAATATATTTAAAATAAAAAATAATATATAATATTCGAGACGGGACGGGACGTCCCGATGGTAATCTCGTGTCTTGTCCCGTCTTGAACCCATTTCATGTCCTGTCCTGATATGATCGAAAAAATACCGGGTCAATCGAGACGAGTCCAAACTGAACACCTCTACCAATAACTAAAATATAGGAAGAGCTTAAAATTATAAAAAATTATATTAAACATGGATTGAAATTTGAATCAAATTTAAATTCATAAATTTTTATGAATCTATATGGTGCATTTAGTCCAAATTCAAATCACCATACATCCAAACAAAACATTAATTTATTTTTAAAATTAATATCCTCTTGTTAAAGTTGCCAGTATATAAATTTAACGGTTAAATGGAATTTTTGTTTTTAAATTATTTCACGAGCAACATCAAGTATCCTAAATTATTTAGTAGAGTAATGTTGCCTTTGAAGTGTTAAAATCATTACAATATCACCATCGAACTAAATATGTGTTTAGATTAAAAAGTTCACAATTAAAATTAGAATTCATTAAACTTAGCAAACTAAAGTTAGGAAAAAAGTCATTGATTTTAATGTGATTTATGTTTGAATATATTTTTATTAAAAGTCAGTTGGACAATTTAAATTTATTTGGATAATTTAATTCAAAATTTAGTTGAGATGTATGATAACAAAAAAGGAAATTAGTTTTCTTACATGTATATATTTTTGTGACTAAGTTGATATTTTTAGGAAAAAAATATTAAACTTAAAATTATAATTTAAAAAATAGATTAAAAATATAAAATAATGTGATAAATAAAAAATCTTAATTTTAAAAAATAGAATGAAGTGATAAATTACAAAATATTCGATTATGAAAAGTTAAAATTTTATAAATTATAAAATATTCAATCCTAAAGGATAAGATTAATTCATATATATTTTAAAATATTCAATTCTAACAATGTAAGATTAATTGCATCTCATGTGATGTACAATTTGGTGTCTAATTATATTATGAAAGGCTATCCCAGAAATGAAAAA